GAGAAACTGGCTTGTGATTACTAAAACACCTTGTGTGGTAACCTTACTAAAGGCGAGTGTTTACATTAGCTATGACAACAAGCAGGAAAAGGGAAGTCAACTGGAAGGTCAACATGCTGAAGAAGGGGGCAGGGAGGCCACTCTGCCACTCTCAGAATCCCTCTGCTAGCCAGCAAGGCACGGCATGACCCAACCATTCTACAGGTGAATTAAGCAGACAGCTGGGACTCTTAGCATGTCGGGTAGTGAGGACGGGCCTCAACAGTGAGGCTTTGTGGGTGTGTATCTGTAATCCCAGCACTCGGGAGACAGAGGTAGGAGGAACAGGAGTTCAAAGCCAGGCTCAGCCACATGGCAAATTTGAGGTCAACATGTACTGCATGACACTCTGTCTCAAAACACCACCCCAACAACCATCAAGTGAGGTTGTCTAGTAATTGTCTAGAAATGCTTATGCTATAAGGTCAGGGAAGACAAAGGCATGGCTCTACACCTTACGAGTGCATCATGCATAGTTATTTTACTGTCTTTTTGTTTAAATTGTGATTCTCTTATTGTACTAAACAAGCAATGCGAGCTTCTTCTTTTAAATCCATTTTAATCAAGAAAAGGACATAAATATATAGTCCACGTCGAAGAAATGTCCAGGAAGGACTTAGGATCTCCAGCTGTCATTGGCAGCTGTTTTGCAACTGTCAAGTCACTCATCAGCAGCCCTGAGATTAATTCCATGCGCTGGGAGTAACAACGTCACCGATTTGGGGGTTTGTTTGTCGAGATCTCATATAGCCCCTGCTGGCCCCAACCCTGGTCCCCCACCCCTGTGTAGAGTCTCCTGCCCTCACCTCTGAAGTTCTGGGGACTGACTGTAGCCACACTCGAGGTTTACATGGTGGGGGAGGTGGGTGGGGCACAGATCCAGGTCTTTGTGCATGCTAGACAAGCACTCTACCAACGGAGTTACTTCCCTAGCTCTACAAAAGTTTTTGTTAAGAAATGAAACACAACACAACATCTAAGTCCCAGCAGTCCCTTGCTAATGGGTCATGACTTCCAAGACCGTGTGGATGATATATGGGCTCCATTTATAGAGGGCCCCTTCCTTTCATGGCATCAACCATGTTTACCCTGAAGATCTATTATAAAATTATGCATTGTTTATTCTTCTAACGGAGGCACAAGCTGCACCATTATTCTCTGGTTGGAGAGTAATTTAAATAAGCCCTCTGGTTTATGTCGCATACAAGGAGGCTTATCCAGATCTAATCTTTTCTAAACCTGTTATGTCTTGGGTTCAACAGAACGGCCTAATTGTCACTATTAATTCCCCCTTTTTGTGGTCTATTCTGTCAATAGACTATTGAGTGTTTGGTAAATTGAAGCTGGACCAGCAGCCGGCACATGGAGACAGACGTTAAATCGTGGCCTGCCCGCCTGTGCTCATTATTAGGATCTGTGAAATAGCTGCTAAGCCAGGGGACAGGACTGAACATGATGCATGCTGCTGTCCTTCTCGGGTTTCCATACTGTACAATCAGGTATGTGAGGTTTCCTTTTTCTAGGCAACAGGTGTGTTCTTGGAACAAAGTTCAACCCCCCCCCCCCACTTTTGGCTTGCGGGAGAAGTGGCAGCTGCAGGCTTAGCTCCAATGACACAGGGCTCTGTGATGGGGCAGCCCCCAAACTTCTCGTTCATGTTATTAAAGCAACAGGCAGTTGGGCTCTGGCCTCCTGCACTTTTCTTTGTGTTACAGAGCCAGGGTGGAAGTTTTCAGATGGCGAGTGTTTCTCTCTCGCAATTATTGCTCCCTGCCCCCTGCTTCCCCTACATTTCCTCTTCCCCCCCTCCTCCTTTCCTTCCCTCTCCCTTGTTCCCCTTCCTTTTCTTCTGGGTGCTCCTCTCTTCTCCAGCCCTCCACTGTTCCCCCCTTCCCTTTTCAGACTTCCCTTCTATTAAAAATAAACACAACACTCGTAAAACATCCCATGTTCACTATGGAGAACGAGTCCCACTGTTTGCAAGCTGATGAGTGGGGACGAGAGAGCCCTTCATTTAAATCCAATTACACTTACAACTCTCTTTATTCTCAAAGGAACTCAAGGGGACTGTTCACTGTGCGATTGGGAGGCTCACCCTGCAAAGCCACATTTCTAAGGACTTATTTCTAAGGACTTATTTCTAAGCCTCACTGTTTTCTGGCTAAATCTTCTTCCTAGGGTTGTGTGAGATATTATTAGCCACAGATCAGCTGTACTGTCCTACCCCAGGAACATAATGTCAACAACTGAAGGTCACACAAGTCAGGAGTCACCGAGACAGCATCACTCAAGAACTTCTTCATATTGGGGTGCCACTCCTTTGTGCGTTTAGCTTTTGGGTAGATTGTGCTGGCAAGTTATGAAGAGTTCAACACCATTTTGCTGTATATGAACTTTCATAGAAACAAAGACAACCAGAAATAAAAGGGTCAGTGTGAAGACACCAGTGTGACATTGTCAGGAAGGAGTCTGTGCAAGTGGCTGTCTCAGAATATACTTCCCTGGATCTCAGATGTGCTGAAGCTTCCCCATTTCCATCAGTGAGTATTTCAAGAGAGATATTTAAAAGCAGCATAGGGCATCTGTGGCAGACAAATACCAGACACCCCTGCAGGACCAGTGGCTAGTGTTGAATAAGCTAGCAGTAGGAGAGGAGCAAAGACGGAATCCTTTTCAGTTATTTTTCCTAACCTCAAACCATTTTGTTCAAGCATCAGATTTTCTATAATCCTAGGCCAAAAGGGTCTTTGCCAGGGTCCTCCTGATGGAGAGACATCTCCAGGGAGAAAGAGTTGGCATTCGACCCTCCAAGACCGAGCCCTGAAAAGCAGCCCTAAGTTTTTTAACTGGCCTGACTTGGATTTCCACTAAACAAATGTCAATAATGACTAACTGCTGGAGAACAAAACTGTCTGTGGCTAGCAGACCAGAGCATGCATTCTAAAAGGTTGCTTCTAATTGGGAATTTCCAGATTCTAGGATTTTTTCCTTTCTCCCAGGCTGTACTTGAAAGAAAAAAGTCATGAGAAAACAAGACATAAGAAAACGTGTGTGTGTGTGTGTGTGTGTGTGTGTGTGTGTGTGTATGTTAGAAAGGGGGTCATGGTGGTGGAAGAGATAGTAAGGACGTGAAGAGAGAACAATGGCATATTGTGTCATGAAAGCAGAAAGTAGGGACAGTCTGAGGAAGGGAACCAGCCAGAGGGACAGGGGTCATGGAGAAGGGCAGCAGGGAAGGGAGACAACCTGGAACATAGTATAACGATGCACAGGTTTGAAAATGCCGCCATGAAACATAGGACTTTACACGGTAACTTAAAGACACAGTAAGAAAAAGGGCTGGAGTAATGATACCCCAGCTAGTAATGGGCTAGCTTCATCAACACCGTGTTTGATCCCTGGCATCGTGTAAAAAGCCAGCCATGTGCCCAGTTGCAGTCCCCATGCTGGGTATGTGGCAACAGGGTGACCCCTAGGCTTACATGTTGGCCTGCTAGCCTAGTCTATGCAGTAGGTATCAGGCCCCCAATGAGAGACCCTGTCTCAAAAGCAAGGTGGATTTCACCCCAAGAAAGACACCTGGGGAGGACCTCTAGCCCCACACACATGTACACTCATGAATATGCACACACATGAAAAAGCACATTGCTGTCTTAACCATTCTTAACTCTACCATTCAGTGCTATCACACTTATGCTGCTATGAGATTTCTAGATTTTCTTATCACGGAACAGAAAGGTCACACCCACTAGACAACTCCTCATTGCGTCCCATCCCTGCCTCTGGTGATCTCCATCCAATTCTCTGTCTCTATCAATTTTACCTCTCTGGATGCCTCGTACAGATGGACCATGCAGTGGACCCCTTCCTGTGGCTAGTTTATTTCCCTTCGCACAATGTCCTCAACGTTTGCCCATCTTATAGCACATAATAGGATTTTCTCCTCTAGGAGCTGAGTAATATTCCATTGTACCTAAACAACCCAGGGCCTTGATGCCCTTGTCTGTCTGTCGACACTTCAGTTGCCTTTACCTCCTAGCTGTTGTGACTCATGCTGTTCTGAACTTGGGTGTACAAATACCACTTTGAGAGTCCGTTTACATTGCTTTGGGGTATGTGCTCGAATGAGAGCTCACATGTTTACTCTACTGCCAAACCATTTTCTCTAATGGGTGCACCATTTTCTATTCCCACCAACAGGACACGGGGTTCCGATTTCACCACATCCACGCCAACACTTTCTATTTTCTGATGGCAGAAACATCTTAACAGGTGTTCCTAATAGCCTCAGTCTGACCCTGAGTCACTTCTGTTGGCGGGAGCTTTTCTTAAAGAGAAAGGAATTCACCCTAATCCCCCTGTTCAGTGCCTTCTGTAGCTTCCTGTCACACCAGGCATGCAAAGAAGTCCTTTACTGTGACCAACAGGCTATATCGGGCTCTGGCTCCAAGCTACCTATCTCCCTAACTCACCTCCCTTTTGCTTTGCTGAGAACAGCTTGTCCCAGCATCCACTGGGCCTTTTCTCGAACCCTCTCCCCTGCTCCATAATCACTTCTACCACTCCCTCTCTCTAGTAAGAGCTCTGCTCAGATGTCCCCTCCTGAGATATAGCCCCTATACCAACAATCCCGATTCCAGAACTTTCCACATCATTGTCTATTTCCTTAATTTTTTTTTTTTTTTTTTTTTTGGTCATACCTATAACACCTCAGTTGGTTATATAGGTATCTATGCCTTTTATTTCCCAAAGGTAAAGCATTCTGAGGTGGGAGAGGGGAGGACTCTCCTGTCCTATTCATCCCCGAAATCCTGGCTTCTAGAACAATACCTACTTGATGCTTGAATTAGTAGACACTTGTAGGGCAGATAAGATCATTGATTATGTAAGTGAAGGGAAAAATAAACAAAGGAGACATCATGATGCCATCAGGGTTGTCTGAGGGGCGAGAAAGTACTCACTTGAGTCTCTACGTCACCGGCAAGGACTCTGCTCTTCTTCAAGAACTCCGCCACCATACTGTTCACCAGCTTGTCAAAGGCTTCCACAGACGGTGCCATGCCTGCTGAAGAGAACAGCTCTGTTACTCCCTGGCAGTATGGTGGGAAGCTGGGACTGGCTTGCCACAGGTCATGTAAAGGCTGAATATCATCACATGTCAGTCAGTCATGCCTCCATGCACCCCGTATGTACTCAGGGATATTGTTCTCTTTGCCCAGCTTCCTCCTTCCTCAATAAAGACTTTCCCCAACATCATTCATTTCATTCTCTCCTGGGACCATTGTCTTCATTAACAGCTCAACTGGCTTTACAGCCACGGAATGGACACACCTCTGTGTGGGGGAAAGTCAGCTGAGGAGGAGCTTTAACAGAGATGTTTAACTGAGGAGGCAAGATGCTCCGGATGTGGGTGGCATGGCTGCTGCCCTAAGCTGAATGAAAAGAAGAAAGCCAATCAGTGCATCTCTCTGCTTCCTGGCTGTGGCGGCCATGTGACCACTGCCTCCTGCTAAGACCCCCTGGCAGGATAGGCTATGCCTCAGCTGAGCCCAAACAAGCCCTTCCCCTCCCTTAATTTGGCTTTTATCAGACATTTTGTTACATGGATGAGAAAAGTAAGGACTGCATTCCCCAGCAGGGGCATCACCATGGCACATATAAAGGAACAGAAATGCAGACAGGGCAGGTGACAGGTCAGAACCACAGACCAAACAAAAGGCAGATGCCCAAACTGAACTGGCCCAGCTTCCTTGAAGTCACTGCCTCTTCCTCCACAGTTCTGCCAGACACAACACCAACCTACAGAGTTACTCAGGGTCCCCAGGGATTCAGAGGACAGTGAAGTCTGGGAAAGGGGGAAACAGAGCTAAACCCACTAATTTTCTTCCTCCTTTGCATACTGGGGGGGGGGTGAGGACACACGGGCAGAAAGAGAATGGGCATCATATGGATGGATCTGTACAGGGCATGATTAGGTGATGCCCTGTGCAAGCTGAAGGGGCAGCATTCCTACGAGCATGGCCTGCTTCCTTCTCTGCTTTATAATTAACTGAAAACAAAACAAAACAAAAACAAACAAACAAAAAAAAAAAAAAACCCACAAAACTAAGCTAAACTAAAGGCCTGACCTTCCTCCCTTAATATTGAGAAATTTGTCCTTGCAGTAAACCAAACCAAACCAAAGCCCCCTTTTTTCTCAAGTAAGTCAAAGAAGATTTGCTTTCCTTTTTTATTCCAACTGCCCATTTTTACAGCCCCAAGGAGGGGTTGGAGTGTGCAGTTGGGGTGAGGTGGGTTGGGAACAGTGATTGACAGCTCCCCACACTTCAGACCAGACCACTCAGCAGCCCTTTGAAGGGGAGCTATCCTGTAGCCCAGTTTGTCACTTAAGGGAGGTGTGAGAGGCCTCTGTGGAGTGTTTTAAGGGGAAGAAAAAATTAGAAACATGATGGATGCTGCTGCCTAGCAAAAGGTAAAATGATGAAAGAGACTATTTTCCCAGTTCCCTTTCATCCTGGACTCTCCTCGCACCTCCTCCGGGCAGCCTTTAATGACCTGTTCTTCCCTCAGACTGTATCCTTTGAGCATCTCTTAATCAAAGCATCTTCCTCTCTGAATAGTTATGTAGGCAGAGTAAAGATGCTGGAGGACTAGGACTGTGTATAATTCATCTGAGGTCTCCTGCACCCAGGACCATGCTTGTCACGGGGCAGGGATGCAAAAGAACGTCTCTAGCTGTAGAGCTGATCTTCCCCGATCATTAGGAAAACAAAGCAAACAAAAAACAAATCCCAAACTTATCGTAGAGAGGCTCATGATGTTTGGATGATATGTGTTTATAGTGGCCTGTGTTCTTTCTCAAAGTTTCCTTTAAAGTATAAAAGAAATAGTTTTATATAACATAGTACATAATACAGCAATATAGGATGTAGGATAATAATATAGTGTTTATGTTTAGGGGAAAACAGTTAATTTATTAGTAAATATCTCACACAGTCCTCCTGCTTCAATCTCTCAGGTGCTGGGGTTCTGGGTGTGTACCCCCTTAGCTGGCTAAGAGCCTGCTTCAGGGTTTAGAATCACCAATGCTGACTAAGGTGAGGAAATAACATTATTTTAGTTTAAATAAGGTGTTTTAAGAATGGGTACCATTCAGATGCCTCCCTAGTTATCCTACTTGCTAATGACGCCACTTGAAGTAAAATAAGTCATTAGCCAATTTTTCCAGGAGGCCTTTGCTTCAATAACTGATTGGAACCGATTTGTTGTATTAGAAAATATTTGTTTAAATGTCAAATAATTTAATGTTTCGTTCTTCAATTTTATTTAGAGACTATTAATTTTCTCTTATGCCTGTCTATGTGCATTTGGTATGTGTGCATATACATGTACAGGTTTGCACATGTGTGGGTGTACATGCATGTGCTCTTGCATTTAGAGGTATGAGGTTGGTGTGAGAGCCCTCCTAAGTCACTGTCCACCTTATGAGGCAGGAATCTCTTGCTGAACCCAGAGCTCAGAGGTTCCCTAGATAAATTCCTGATCTCTGTATCCAGTGCTGGGACTTTAAGGCTCAGCTTTTAAATGGGTTCTGGGGATCTGATCCTACTTTACCAACGGAGCCATCTTCCCAGCATCCTCCTCCCTCTTTTTAAATAAAGGAAATACATAGTTTTGTCAGTTACCTTTTTGAATGTGTGAGGTTCAAAGTTTGGGTGGGCTTTCTCTCTTTATTTAATTACCCATTGTCTCCTGGAATTTGTTGTTGTTCGTCTTTTTTTTTTTTTTTTATAATCTCCTGGATTTTAACTTTATTTTGTGCACTTACAGGCTTTTTATTGAAAGACAGAGACCTTAAAGAAATATCTGCAGTCACTATCAAGGGCATAAGGAAACAAAGTTGCTAGAGATGATGGAAAGACCTTGCCATAGAAATGAGGCTTATGAGGCCCAGCTGCCAACTGAAAGGGCTTAAGATGAAGCCAAGGGCACATCTTAGATGGGGGTAGGGGTGGGGCTCTGACCACGCCCAGGCTCTCTTTAAGCAATGTCCTTTCAACCTGTTCAGGTCACTGTTGTGTGATATATTTTGCTATGTTAAGGTTAAAACCCTTCTTTTTATTTAGACAGAAAAGAGATGATGATGGGAGATGTCATTCTGTATATGTTTCTCATGCTGGTTAATGAATAAAGCACTGTTGGCCAATAGGAAAGGAAGATAGGAGGGACTAGGAGACAAGGAGGAAATAGGAAGTAGTAAGGAGGAGCCAACATGCAGAGTCTGGAGAGACTAGAACCTCCAGCCGCCTCTCGCTGGTAAGACCACATGGAAATACATAGAAATGGGTTAATAATTAAGACAGAGCTAGCCGATAAGAAACTAGCACCTGGACAACAGCATAATATCAAATACAGAGTCTCTGTGTGTTAATTGGGGCTGGCGCGGAGGCGGGACAAGACCAGAGGCGGCTGGCGGAAAAACCATACTCGTTACAGGTCACTTTTGTTTTCAGGGGGAAAGACACAACCAGTAGGTCTCAGTTCACACAGTATTTTCTGTTCTGTGGCATGGAACGGGAGCTAAGGCCCCTGACGTCCAGCATTCCAGAAGCAGCAGTGCAGACCCCCCCTGGGGAAAGGGGTATTGGAATCCCCTCTCGCCCAAGGCTTTTCTCAGCACCCAAAGCCTGGCGGCCTTTAAAACAGGCCAGAGGAACTCTGCACGTGTGTCCACACAGGTCAAGAACAGAGCTGATTCAATACGGACCACACTGTTAAATCTTGACTTCAGATGAGCAATGAGTAGACTGTTAAGGCAATTATGTGCTGCCCAGTATTCGAGAAACAATGATAGAAAAAAGTTTCTCCGTTTGAAATTCAAATTTAATAGGTATCCTTCATTTTATTTCTGCTACTGTAATTTTACACAAAAAGGAAGTGGGAAAATTACCGTAGGTAACTTAGTTTACCATATGGATTATCTGCTTTCTTTTCTTTTTTTTTTTTTTTTTTTTTTTTTTTTTTTTTTTTTTGTAGAGTCTTATGTAACCCTGGCTGGCTTCAAATCAGATATGTAGTAGAGGCTGGCCTTGAACTCCTGATCCTCCTTAAGGTGTGCACCAGCATACCCACCTGGTTTAAAGAAAATTTTTGACTCTACTTTTTGACCTTACAAGTTTTGAGAATTTTTTAAAAAATTTATGCATGTATGTGCGTATAGCCTGTGTGGAGGACACCTGTGCAGCAGTACATACATGGCAATCAGAGGACCATTTTGTGATGTCAGTTCTTGCCTTCCACCTTCATGTGGGTCCTGAGGATCAAACTTGGGTCCTGAGGATCAAACAGGGTTATGCAGCAAGCATCTCTACCCGTGGAGTCATCTCTCTAACCCAAAAGCTCCTTCTAGAAAAGCACTCTGGGGGTCTCTCCTTGGCACTTGCTCCCGTGGTCAGAGGTCAGATGACATGCTGTGGTCATGGACTAGCTCCATCTTTGGCTTAACCTGGGACAAGGTGCAGTCAAAGCTGCGGTGCCCAAAATATCCTTACGGTGAAAACCCACAACACCTCAAGCCCTTTCAATTTGCATTCTAACTGAGCATGCTCATTCTAGCTTCGATAATTACTTCAATAACATAGTTACCCATCAACACAGAATAGGAACCCTCCTTTGGTTGTGGATCACATTCCTCAGAGGCACAGATCTTGATCACTTCTGTGGATTATGGGTTGAAACGTTTAAAGTTTGCTTTTTAAGCTGGTGCATAAAATCTGTGTGTATTTGCAGGAGAAGGAGAGCACATCCCCCACCTTCTTTCCCAGGGACTGCCTGCCGTTGGCTAAGGCTATGATCACTCCCAAAGGAAGGAGGCAGATTTTGGAAACTGAATGTTGAAGGCAGGAGTAAGTGACCCACATGATACCAGTAATGGCATCAGGACAAAGCCCTACCTCCATTGACACCATTGACTTCTCCACAGTCTCCAGGAGGCCCATGTGAACACGCAGACAGCTGCTCCAGCCGGCTGACTGCACACTCCAGTCTCTCTATCAGTCCCAGCATGTCTGCCATTCTAGAAGGACAGGGGCAGAGAGATCGTGTGAGCATCACTGAGAATCAGAAAACTGACATCACCCCCACTGAACACTGGGAGAGAAGATAAACTTTCAGAATAACTCGTATCACCTCCCTGTCGTGAAAACACGTCAAACAGAGAAAAGAGCTTACACAAAAATGAAAATTATATTGGGCTCATTTTCTACTCAGTACAATGATATGTATTTATCCATTTTCAAGGATCTATGTAGCTCTGACTCTCCAGGAACTTGCTATGTAGACCAGCAGACCTTGAACCCAGAGAGATCCACTTGCTTCTTTGTACCCAGCATTGGGATTAAAGGTTTGTACTACCATGCCTGGAATAGTTTTTTTGTTGGTTTGTTTTACATAGTATAAAATCTAAGATACTAATATTATCCAGCTTTCCATTATTCCCAGATGTCTGCCTACATGCTTCCAATGTTGTTGCCGACACCATTTTTGTATGGCACTTACCTAAAAGCCACAAATACATAACCTAACATTAATATCAGAAATGCTTACTAGGCTAAGTGGTGGGAACACATTTTAACCATTCCCAGTCATTCTGATAAAGTATGGTTACCTAGGCAACTCTAAACCCATTGATAATCCTTATTCACCTAATTGTATGAAATATGAGTTTATAGAATTGTGCATTATTTGGCAATCGAAGAGATATCACCACCTCTGGGTATTAATTATTATCAGTTTGTTTCAGTTGTGAAATTATCTGAAATTATAATGATTCTGAATTGCAGAGGTTTTAGTTTAAAAGATTAAAGGTGGTTGTTTTCCTTTTGGAGGCTATGATTACTTTTACTGGTGTCTATGAGCTGTATCTCTAGACACTTATGACAGCCTTTGGTAAAAATCAGTCTGCTGCCCCCAAAGATAATAAAACATGCTTTCTTTCGCCAGGACCTATAGTTCCTTCCACTCTCAGGAACTTTCCAACTTTCCATTCTGAGCAAAGGACAGGCATTGCACTTCCAAATCATCAGCTGCCTGGGAGCATGGGTAAGCTATATCACCCTGGGATGCATGAATATTTCAGTTTTCTACCTGAAAGCCAGGAGAGCGTGTGTCCCTGCATTTGCAGATTAAATACAACAATCACAGGTCACCCCAGTATCCAAAAGCAAGGTCAGCTACATATGTCCATGTGCCCAGCTCTGTACATCAGCATCCCAACATCAGTAGCCAGAGATGGAGGCAAAACTCATGGTCTATTTTGGAAACACATCATTCTGGAAGCTGCCAGAAGCAGCTCTCTCAAAATATGGAGCAGGACTTGCTGCAGAGCTGAATCCAGCATCTAATCCCAAGGGGCTGCAAAATTAGAAGTTTCTCAGCTATTCTTTTCCTCTTCACGTCAGAGCTTCTGATGCTGTTGCAATTGAGGGGGGGTGGTGGAGGAGAGATTTAACTGAACCCTTTACATAATCTTCTTGCAGGGAGACTGAGTATCTCGTAGGTGGGCGAAGGCCATTTGAGGAATGATGAGAACCCCTCAAATCTTTTAATAGTTGCCCATCTGTTCAGTTATCTCGGTTCCCTGTTAGTCAAACTTGCCAAATGTTACCAGCACGGCCCTAGACTATGATAGGAGGGAAAGGCATCTACTTTGCTAGCCAGCTCCCCAAACCACCTCTGGCTCTCCCCCATCAGGGCAAGCTGTTTTGGGAGAGCCTGTTACATTTCACACTTGGGACTGCCTTCCCAGCCAGGGGCTTAATCAGACTCCTCAACTGGTTCCAGACTCAAGCTATCTAATAGTGAGTGTCACACATGTTGAAAGACAACAGGACTCGGCGTGTCAACTGCAGAGTGAGGCAGATTGCTGTGGAATGTGGTCTAAAAGCCACTCAGATGCCACTTCATGTAAAATCACCAAGCCATGTCACAGCCTCTAAGGAGGCTGGAAAGATAGCTCTAGGTTTAAAATTTAGGAGCAGTTTGTTAGAGACACTTAGCAACAGACAGAAGGAAGAATCCAGTAGGATGCACACTGGCATGCCCAGGGTGACCCACTGGCTCTGAAGTAGCCAGGTAGCCCACCCAAACTTTCTCACTCTTTCTACATTTGACCTCAGCTGCTGTCCAGACCATCAAGAATAAGCAAAACACATTCTAGCCCATTTGCCTTGGCATTTCAAAATGCACTTAGCCAACTTTTGACAGGATCTGGGAAGTAAGAAGGAAGCCGGGAAAAGGCAAAGAGTTGCCACAGCAAATGAGAAGATCAGGTTTGGTGACGAATGGATCTGAGCAAGGGAGTCAGACACAAGGGTTAAGACGGGAAGCCAGTGGAATGTGGTGAGGGGCAAGTTAGCTAGACGACAGATAGTCTAAGAAGTGGAACAGGAGGACAGATTTCCAACTGTAGAATCAAGAGTCTGGGTCAGGTGGCATAGCTCAAACATGGCTCTCCAAACTTCTAGCCATCCTGTTCATGTAGAAGGGACCCTACTGCCTGTTGCACATTAGACCAGAGAGGGTGTTCCGAAGGGAAAAGTGTCATATTCTGACATTTCATGCTTTTAAAGTTAGTTTGTGTTTGTTTACTATCTTAATTTGCATGGATGATTTGTTTGTATGTATGTCTATGCACCATGTGTATGCCTGATGCCTAGAGGCCAGAAGAGGGCATTGGATTCCCTAGGCTTGGAGTTGCAGACAACTTTGAGTTGCCATGTGGGTACTGAGAACTGGAAGAACAAGCCAGTTCTCTTAACCTCGGAACTATCTTTCCAGCCTCTTGAAGATTTTAAGAAAGACAATTTTCTTTCTTAAAATACAAACACAAACAAGACAGAGTCTCCATATGTAGGCCTAGATGGCCTGGAATTCTTCATGTAGATCAGACCGGCCTTGAACTAGCTCTATAGCCATGGTTGATTTTGATCAGCTGATGCTTCACCTCCTGAGGTTATTCCAGATACACACCACTTTGCCCATACTTGACACTGATCTTAATTCCCTGCGCATTAATTTTTAAGCACCTTTTAAAATTAATTATAGTGCCATCTTTGTGCATCATTACTTCTCTGTTTCAAACTCTCCCTTCACTTACTCTCTGCCATTCTGTCTTTTCCTTGTAGTCGGCATAACACAGTTACAGGAGACAGTATGGGAACTCAGTATTGTATAATGACTGAATTAGGACTGTGTTAGCATCTCCATCCACTGATACAGCAAGTCATTATTTTGTGTGTTTGGGTCTTCAAGTTCCCCTCTTAGTTCTTCACGAACCATACAACAGGTTGTGGTAAGTTACATTTAATGTACTGCGTTATAGAACACTATCCTAGTTAGGATTTCTATTGCCTCAATCAAACACCACGACCAAAAAGCAAGCTGGGGAGGAAAGGGTTCATTGCACATTGCCATTCATCACTGAAGGAAGTTAGGACAGGAACTCAAACAGGGCAGAATCCTGGAGGCAGAAGCTGATGCAGAGGCCATGGAGGGGTGCTGCTTGCTTCTAAATGGATTGCTTTACACAGCTTGCTCAGCCTCCTTTCTTATAGAATCCAGGACACCAGCTCAGGGTACCACCCACCATGGGCGGGGCCCTTCCCGACTGATCACTAATTGAGACAATGCCTTCCAGATGGATCTCATGGAGCCATTTCCTCAATTGAGGCTCCTTCCTCTCTGATGACTCTAGCTTGCATCAACTTGACAGACAAAACCAGCCAGTAGAACTGACCCCTTATCAACTTGATGTACAAACACATCACTATTAAGCCACGATTCTTCCTTTACTATTCATCCACAAGATCTCATGTTAAAACATAAATAACACTAAAAGTTCACAGTCTTTACAAATTCAAACACATTAAAATGTCAGCCCCTTTAAAATAGCCAATCTCTTTTAAAAATCCAAAGTCTTTTGAAATTCAAAGTCTCACAACTGTGGGCTCCAGTAAAATACTTCCTTGCTTCAAGAGGGAAAAATCAGGGCACAATCAAATCAAAGCAAAACCAAATCCCAACCATCCAATTTCTGGGATCCACTCATGGTCCTCTGGGCTCCCTTCTCCGGCTCCGCCCTCTGCAGCACACACAGCTGTCCTCTCGGCTCCAGCTGGCTCCTCTCCACTGCTGCTGCTGTTCTTGGTGGTCATCCCACGGACTGGCATCTGCAAAATGCTGGGTCTCTGCTGCAACTGGGCTGCACTTTCACCAAATAGGAACACAAACAGAGCAAGACCCTGGAGACAGGAACTGATGCAGAGGCCATGGAGGGATGCTGCTTACTGGCTTGCTTCACATGACTTGCTCTTCTTTCTTACAGAATCCAGGACCACCAGTCCAGGGATGGCACCACCCACCACGTGCTGGGCTCTCCCCCGTGGTTCATTAAATGAGAAAATGCCTTACAGCTGGATGTCATGGAGGCATTTCCTCAACTGAGGCTCCCTCCTCTCTGATGACTCTAGCTTGTGTTAAGTTGACACACAAAACCAGCCAGTACAAAATATGCTTCCTTATATATGTTGGTACCCATTAGCCAACCACACTCTATCCCTTCCCCCAGCCTCCCTAGCTTCTAGTCAACACCATTTTGCTCTTTCTTACCTTCAGATTAATATTTTTAGCTTCCACATAGATCTGAGAACATGGGGTTTTGTCTTGGGGTATCTAGCTTATTTCCTTTGATATGATTTCTTCCTATCCCATCCATTGGCACAGATGGTGGGGTTTTATTCCTTTAATGGCTGAATAATATCGAGTACATGCCTTCTCTTCATTTTCTTTATTCATGCACCTATAAATATATGCCCTTGTTGACTTCATATCTTGCCTCATTTTCCTTTTGTAGAGTTTAATTTTTGCCTTTATCAAGGTGAGATGTACACAGACTCAAAGGGTATCATGTGATGCTGTGTAATGTTTAGATCTGGCTAAAATTATCCACATTTTTAAGTACTTATTTCTTCATGGCAAAACATTGGCTATTCTTCTTCTACCTTTTTACAAAACATA